ATTGCATGTCATGGTAAAAGACTAAAGAGCAGATTATTTATAAAATGTTAAAGTATCTATCAGTGTTGGTCCTGTTCAGTATCTGATGTTTCACTGTCCTCTATTGGGGGATCTTAACTGTTGCATATTCAGGCTTCATCACTCTTACCTCATTCACACCAACGGTGTTTCAGGGCCGGTTCGGAGCTGGAGCTTGAAAAGCACCGGGTTTTCCTGTTCACACCGCAGCAGAGCAGCCTCTTAGCTCCGGAATCCGGTTCATTTCGAGCACCAAAAAATTGTCCGGCCAGAGCAAAAGCACCGCATACGTCACGCTTACGTCGAGGCGGGGGCAGGGGCGGGATCAACTCCTGAACAACAACAAAAAGCCGGCGTTTTATCCAGTTTGTACACAACGATGGAGAAACTTAACAAGCAGCAGTGGTCCACTGAAGAGACCAGCTACCTACTGGGAATCTGGTCTTCCGAAGAGGTACAGAGGAAGCTGGAGCACCATCGGCCATTGTTGTTGTTGTCGGTGTCAGCTGTGAGGGCTTTATGAAGCAGGCACGCAAACGGTTACGTCATGACGCAAACAATGACGCAATGACGCAGCACCAGTCGGACTCTGGGCGGTGTGAAAAGAGCCGGAGCTCAACCGAAGAACTGGTTCTGAACCTGAAAAGCTCTAGCACGGAGCTTGAACCGGAGTTGCGTTGGTGTGAATGAGGTATATTAGAACAATTATAAATAGGTATAATATCACAATTCAAAGTACTAGACTTACTTTAATATCTTATAAAGTAATCACCCATTGCATACAATAAAATTATTCCGAACAAAGGCAAGGCAATCCGTCGTGTCAGACATGTGAGGCCAGATCACCAAAACCTGTGGACCTCCCTTCATAAGACAGGACCCAGGAGCACATTTTGCAATGATGACACACAAAGACTTACAAGGCTGTCATGTCTGGTAGAAATGATTTTCTAGATCTTCTAGATGTTCAATCACCCACATTGCTTGTGGAGCAATTTGGAGTATAGGCCTAAAGTGTTTTTTGCCAAAAGATACTTCAACATGCAAACTGGATGAGCCAAGGATCGAACCCCCAATCGTCCAATTAGTGGACCGCCCATAATAAGGAAGTTGCCAATCAAGGCCAGTTTGTACACACCCACACAACTTCAAGAAGAGGTCTAATCAGGCAACATAAGTGG